GTTCAGGCAGTTCTCCTGCCTCAACCTCCTGAGTAGCTGGGATTACAGGCACGCGCCACCATGCCCAGCTAATTTTTTGTATTTTTAGTAGAGACGGGGTTTCACCATATTGACCAGGATGGTCTTGATCTCTTGACCTCGTGATCCACCCGCCTCGGCCTCCCAAAGTGCTGGGATTACAGGCATGAGCCACCACGCCCGGCCCCTTTTTTTATTTTTAATTTTAAAAAGAAACAGGGTCTGATTACATTGCTCAGGCTGGTCTTGAATTCCTGAACTCAAGCAATCCACCTGCCTCGACCTCCCAAAGTACTGGGATTACAGTGTGAGCCACTGCGCCCGGCACATTGTTAACATTTTTAAGTGCCAACATTTGATAAATTCTGACTTCATAATATTCAGTTGTAAAGAATACAGGTATCTTTCTACAGGTTTTTAATTTTTTTACTTAAGATGTGGAACTCAAAAAGAACATGGGTTGCACAAATAGGATTACCTTCCTCTATGGGGAGGATCATTTTAGGATTAAGCAACATGGAAGAGGTGACCAAAACAGAAAATCCAACTTCTCTCAGAACTACTGATCTCAGAATTTTAGTCAAGGTTCAGGCTCCCATGTATAGCCTAATCTGGCATTTCGTTATTGGATCTTTAATTTTTAATTTTTTTTTTTTTTTTTTGAGACGGAGTCTTGCTCTGTTGCCCAGGCTGGAGTGCCGTGGGGTTATCTCCACTCACTGCAACCTCCCCCTCCCGGGTTCAAGTGATTCTCCTGCCTCAGCCTCCTAAGTAGCTTGGACTACCGGCACGTGACACCACACCGTCTTATTTTTTGTATTTTTAGTAGAGACAGGGTTTTACCATGTTAGCCAGGATGGTCTTGATCTCCTGACTTCGTGATCTGCCCGCCTCAGCCTCCCAAAGTGCTGGGATTACAGGCGTTAGCTACCACGCCCGGCCTACTATTTGATTTTCTTTTAGCCCTCTATGCATGAGCATCCCTAAAAAAATCATTTTCTTGTTAGTTTCACAGTATCTCTAGTTGAGCCACCATAGCAAGTATTGCCCTCTCTCTAGCAGGTAGTTTTTGCCAGCAGGAAACCTAAGAGTCAATTGTCATAAAATCATACAAAATGATGAGGGGAGGGGGAACTTGCTTTGACAACCATTCCATGGTTTGCAAGTAGCAAAAAACTTTGCACTGCATAAACCGTCTGATGGTTTTAAAGGAACCAAAACGTCAGTAAATGTTTTTTCTTTAGAAGACTTTCTGAGAATCATAGATTTAAAAGCTGAAAAGAAGCTTAGTGGGCCTCTGCCCCCTTGCTGCTTCACAGTTGAGAAAATTGAGTCCAGAGAGAAGAGCTGCCTAGGTCTCCACTATGCCCTGAGCATTCCTGTTGCCCCAGGGTTGAAGCTCACGCCTGGTGCCTAAGGGTCCCTGGCGGCAGGCTCTCTTTCCCCCTCTCTGTGCTTTCGCCCCTTTCAGCTTTGTCTTAGTTATGATTTTGTATTCTGTCCTTGGAAAAAGTCACTGCTTTGACTGAATGAAAAGCAGCTACCATTTGCTGAGTGGCTACTTTATCCTTTTTCTTCTTTTTTAAAACCAATCCCGTGAAATATGTATTATTAAACTTATTTTTACAAATGAGAAAACCATGGCTTGCAGAGTTTAAGGAATCATAGAAAGTCAATTCAGGCGCGGGGCATGGTGGCGCACATTTGTAATTCCAGCTATTCAGGAGGCTGAGGCAGGCGAATCACTTGAACCCGGGAAGCGGAGGTTGCAATGAGCTGAGATCACACCACTGCATTCCAGTCTAGGCGACAGACCAAGAGTCCATTCCATAGGCCAGCCAGAATTCAAGCGCAGAGTTGACTGGTGATTTGTTTTACTCTGCTAAACTTCCTCTCTTTGATTTATTTTCTCAGTACCTACAACATTATAATCTAGAGATAACAGTCTTTTAGAAATTACAGTGAATATTAATAGCTCTTTTGTCTTTAATAAAAAGTCTTTAGAGCAATTATCTAGAACAATATTCAGTTCATTTTATAATGCAGCCTTGGAGTTAGCCACCCCCTACCCAGTTGTAATAAATCTATATATACTAACCTAGAAAGACGCCCATATTAAGTTAATTGAAGAAAGGAAATTGCAGAGCAGTGTGTATAGTATAACTCCATTTATGTTTTGTTTAACACTACAGATATCCTTAACACATATATATGTATATATATACATGTGCAGAGTAGATATCTGGAAAGACACACACTAAACTCTTTACAAAGCTTCATGCTAAGGACTGGGATTGGGGGCTAGGTGGTTAAATAGAGGATTTGGAGATGATTTGTGTATCAGTTAAATTTTTTATAATCTATATTATGTTAAAACTAATTTTTAAAACAAAAACATATACATTAAAACTTTCTTCATAAATTCCTAATGACAATTTTACTTATTTTGGAACTAGAAATTATAGTTAGAAAATCATTATTACTGCTTTGAACTGTTAAAAGGGTAGTTGATTGTATGAATTGGAATTTTTCCCCTGCTGTCATGAAAATATTTGTCAAGTTCCTCCAGCAAAGCTCAGCACAGAGTTGTTGTTCAGTAATCGTTGATTATCTCTTTCCACCACAAAACCAGAAGCAATGAAAACTAATCTCTATCCCAGATGAAAGTAACTTGTAGCTTGTGGAATATTTTAAAATCATCAGGTTGAACTTGGCATCTTGAACTATAAATTCACCCGTATTCTCCACGGCTTTTCATCTTATATTCATTCTCAAGATTTTTCCCTTCTAAGGGGTCCTCTTCTATGCAGCCTGAGAGCACCTGCACTTGTAGAGCCTTTTTTGTAATAGACTGGTGTTTTTAAGGCATCTAATAGATATTATCTTTATAATTCTGTTGTTACCAACTTTCACATTGTTGTTTCTGTAATCTGACCCTGGAAAGGTTGATTTTTAGAATTTACTTTTTATTTATTTATTTTGAGTCAGGGTCTCACTCTGTCACCAGGGCTAGAGTGCAGTGGTACAATCTTGACTCACTGCAACCTCCACCTCCTGGGTGTAAGGTCTTTTAGGCTGACTGCACCATGGGCCACGCCATGGTAACCTCTGTGACATGCACATGTACTCCAGATGAGTTCCTGGAACTAGAAAGTCTGAAGTGACTGGAAAATCACAAAAAGGGGAATGATCAACCCCTGCAGTGCCTAATTAACTTTGAGACATACTTCTATTTTCCTTTATTCCTGCCTCAACTGATAAGGCAACTGGACTTTGTAACTGACCTTGGTCAACCTCATGACTCCAGACCCTATGACCCCCTCCCAGCTTGCAAAAGCCACCCTGAACTATCACTTCTGTAACTTTCCTATAAAACCTATAAAACCAACTCCTATCCCACTGCCCTGCTCTGACTCTTTTTTTGAACTCAGCCCGCCTGCACCCGGGTGACTAAACAGCCATGTTGCTCACACAAAGCCTGTTTAGGGGGGATCTCTTCATTCAGAGCACGTGTTGTAACTGGGCTCAAGCAATCCTCCACCCTCAGCCCCCCAAGTAGCTGGGACTACAGGCACATGCCAACATGCCTGGCTAATTTTTTATATTTTTGTAGAGACAAGGTTTTACTATGTTGCCCAGGCTGGCCTGGACCTCCTGGGCTCAAGCAATTTTCCCACCTCAGCCTCCCAAAGTGCTGGGATTACAGGCACGAGCCACTGCACCCAGCCTAGAATTTACATTTTAAACTGTTTATTCTAACTCTTTTGCCCTTCTCCTCTTGCCAGTGAATATGGTTGTTTCTCCACGTAAAAAAAAAATATTTTATTCCAGGTGAATATGACTGAGAAGCCATTGAGAAAGCCACCTGCCAGACTAAAAAAACTCAAGATCACAAAGCAAGAGAAAGATTTCACAATGAAGGACATCGAGGAGAAGATGGAGGCTGCTGAAGAATGCAGGAAGGTACTGAGTTCTCAGATGCTCTAGACTTAAGGGGTTAGCTGTCTGCTAAAGTGATCTCATGCCAGACCTTTCCTATCAGCAGTTTTAAGACAAACTGTATGAATCAATAGTCACTATTTTATTTTATTTTACTAATTCTTTTAAGAGACAAATTCTCACTATGTTGCCCAGGCTGGAGTACAGTGGCATGCTCAGAGCTCACTGCAACCTTGAACTCTTGGGCTCAAGAAGTCCCCCTGTCTCAGCCTCCTGAGTAGCTGGGACTACAAACCTACACCACTACATGTGGCTAATTTAAATAAAAAAATTTTTAGAGATGGTGTCTCACGATGTAACCAAGGCTGGTATTAAACTCCTGACCTTAAATGCTCCTCCTGCCTTGGCCTACCAAAGTGTTGGGATTACAGACATGAGCCACTGTGCCTGGCCTACAGACAATATTTTAATGACCTATATTTTTTTATTGTATGTTTCATGTTTAGTGGCTTTTCTTAACAATTTCCTTCCTGTTGTAAAGGAATAAAGTAGGTTGGGTATTACAGTTTCATCCATATAGCCTAAGCAAGCAACATCCAGTTCTTGGAATTAAGTGAAGTATGGAGTGTTCTTCATATGAAAAGAGAGAAACTTAATTAAGGCTGGGGGCAGGAAGGAGAGGCAGGGTTGGGGTGTAGTGTTAAACTGAGAGGAGCTGCTGCAGAGCATCAGGCAGCATCACCCCTGTTGCATTTTCACCGAGGGCCCCCATAACCCTCCATGTGCCCTTGGCCAGATGCCGCCTTCACAGCTTTGGTCCAACAGCCTTCATTTCCCAGCTCTCTAACTGGCCTCTCAGAGCACAAGGACCAGACTGCAAGCTCCATGAGGACAGGCCCCATGTCTGCCTTCTTCAACAAGAGTTTCCCAAAAAATGTTTGTTATACAACTGAATAATGACATAGAGAAGCCATAAATGTTCAATACAAGCAACATTAATTGCAACTTGTAGAAAGCTACTCAGACTCTTTTTCATTCTTTAATACCGCATTTCAGTCTAAAGAAGAAGAAATAAGAAAAAGGCTACAGAGTGACCGACTTTTGCCTTCAACCAATCATTCAGATTCAGCTAAACTAGGTGGGGCTGAGGCTGCATTTGCCAAAGGACTTCAAAGGGTGAGGTCGGCTGGGTTTGAACCATCTGACCTGCAGGGAGGAAAACCATGGAAGAGGAAGAAAAGTAAAAGTGATGCAACCTTGATTGACAGAAACGACAGTGATGAAAGTTTTGGGATCGTGGAGTCAGACATGTCTTACAACCAAGCAGATGACATAGTCTACTAAGCCATTTTTTTGTGAATTTCATAAGCCGTCATTAATTCTCCCCATTCGTGACATTTTGTAGTATGTCTCAGATTCTATGACTGCCTGACCTCATTCCACTGGGATTTCTGCCTTGGGCTTAAGGATGATTGTGTGGACTGCATGGGCCGAAGGTTAGTTGAGTAAATTAAATAGCTATGCTAGATTTAATAAAGGAGCGAGGGGAAACTTGATCAGCTTGGATATTTGGCACTCTCATTTGTGTGGCATCAAACACCGTGGCAATGTCTTTAATGTGTAAGTGCCTTCAGCTCACGTGAATATGTTCATGCCAAATGAAATCCTTCCTGTTCTCCTGCCTGGTGGCGGTGTCCATCTTCTTCTGGTCCTTTAAGACAAATTACATGGATTCGTGTTAAGTATTTTAATGATTTGTATGTTTTTTATGCTGTATGTCTATAGTTTCAGAAATTTTTTTCTTTGTGTTATGAAGGAATGAAGCAATGTCTTAAAGTTGGTTGAATTACAGTTTCATCTATGTAGTTTAAGTTAGCAATATTAATTCTCAGAATTATATAAAGAATGGAGTTTTCTTCTTGTGAAAACAGGAGAACTTCAATTGAGGCTAGAGGTGGAAGGAAGTTGTCGGGGTGGAGGTAGACACTGCTACCAATGTCTGTCTGTCTTCCCTGCAGGCACACTGAGCTGAGAAGCTGCTGGCCCTCATCTTATTGGAATTATACCTTGGTTCTTCCCTCCCTTACCACTCACATCCAATCAATTATCAGGTCTTATGATTATAGATGCTTTTTCTTGGGGCGGTGGGGGGGGAGGCAGGGTCTCACTTTGTACCCAGGATGGAGTACAGTGATATGATCTTGGCTCACTGCAGGCTTGACTTCCTGAGGCTCAAGCAACCTCCTGCCTCGGGCCCCCAAGTAGCTGGGACTACAGACACACATCGCCACACCAGGATAATTTTTGCAGAGATGAGGTTTTGTCATGTTGACCAGGCTGGTCTCAAACTCCTGAGCTCAAACGATCCACCCACCTTGGCCTCCCAAAGTGCTAGGATTATAGGTGTGAGCCACCATGCCAGGCTATGATTCTAGATTTTAAGGATCTCTTGCATCCATCTTCATACTTTTCCCTTGTCAGTACCTAGTTTCGGCCACTCACCATCATTTAACTGGGTTGCTACGATAGTCTTGATCCTTATACAGTAGTATCTGTTTAAAACCCCAGGTTGGCCCCCCTTGTATTGTTGAGGTAAAGCCCAGACTCCCTGGTAAGGATCTCAGCTTTCACAATTCAGCCAAACGGAACCTCTTCCAGTTCCTCAAACTCAGCACACTCACCCTAGGTGCTAGACCTTTGCACATGCTGTTTCCCCCTTCCCTTCTATTCTTCCTGCTCCTTGACTTGAAAAATGCCTTCTTGTCTTTCATGTCTCAACTCAGACATCACTTCCTCTAAGCCCCCTGGTCCAGGTCGATGCCCCTCTCACCTTTTGGCACCCCAAACTGTTTCATCTTGGCGTCTATCATCCTGTGTAGAAGTCACCTCATACGTTTCCATCTTTACCATTAGATATTTTCAGTTCCTGCAGGACAAAGGAGTGGGTCTTCTGTAATCATGGTTGCAGTTTTTGGTACCTTGGAAAGTGAATGCACATTTTAAGTGCTACATAAATATTGCTTTAGTGGATGACTCAGTCTGCTTGTACCTCCTCCAGAAGCAGGTATATGTCTTGTTTTCTTGGGAACCATTTGACCTGAGGCTTACTCAGCATCTCCTGTTCATACATTCCCTTTGACCTTTTGTGTATCAGGGGTCCCCAACCCCCAGGCCATGGACCAGTACCTGTCCGTGGCCTGTTAGGAACTGGGCCTCACAGCAGGAGGTAAGCGGCGGGTGAGAAATCTAAGCTTCATTTGTATTTACAGCTGTTCCCCATCGCTCGCATTACAGCCTGAGATCTGCCTCCTGTCAGATCAGTGGCGACATTAGATTCTCATAGGAGTGAACTGTGCACGCAAGGTATCTAGGATGCACACTCCTTATGAGAATGTAATGCCTGATGATCTGAAGTGGAGCTGAAGTGGTGATGCTAGCACTGGGGAGCGGCTGCAAATACAGATTAAACTTGGTAAAGAGCTTTTACCGCATGAAGACCATAATAAATCAGTTGCTTGCAAACACATATCAAAACCATATCCGTGAGTGGCAAGTGACAGTGAAGCTGCATCTGGTGGCAGGCTTTAGAGTGGTGAAATGAGTCGATGTACTTCAATTGTACAGCTGCATCTGGTGGCCTTAAAGGTATGTTTGAGGCAACTTCAAATCTCCGTATGTTCTGAATTAAAGTCCAGGTAGAATATCCTCACATTGCCACAAAAGCGCTGAAACGTCTGCTTCCATTTCAGACATCCTATCCTTTTGCAGCAGGGTTTTCTGCAGTGACCACAACCAACATGAGATTATGAAGTAGACTGGACATAAGCAACACATTTCAGATGTCAGTGTCTCCCATCACCCCAGATAGGACCATCTAGTTGCAAGAAAACAAGCTCAGGGCTCCCACTGATTCTACATGCTGCACAGGAAGGTGATGATGAGTTGTATGATTATTTCATTATATATAACAATGTAATAATAGTAATGAAGTACACAATTAATGTACTTGAATCACCTTGAAATTATCCACACCCTGCCCTAACATCCATGGGGAAATTGTCTTCCACTAAACCAGTCTCTGGTGCCAAAAAGGTTGGGGGCCTCTGTTGTATATGGATGCCTCTGTTGTATATGTTCCTATAGCCTGTAGGACTTCAGACGCCTACAGCCAGTGAAGTATGACAGTGCTGGTAGAGGAGATGGAGGGGCTTCTTCAAAACTAATTGCAGAGCCAAAACTTTTAGACCTTCAGTCTACTTCTTACAGTGTGACCCTGAGGCATGCAGGCTCTCTGTCTCAATTACCTTACATGTTAATTTGGGATAGCCACAGTCATAGAGTTGAATCAAATGAAATAATGTGTTTAAAGATACTGTGTACCTGCTAGCCTGGTTTCGCAAACTGAGTTGTCCCACCCCTTCTATGCAGATAACTTGATTCAGGGGTGCCCTCTCCACTCCATGCCTGGACAGATCTCCAGGCATTTGGAGGACCCACTCACCTGGATCAACAGCCTGAATCACCCCACCCTTCCTGTGCAGAGATCTTGTTGCAGAAGGACCCTCTCTGCTGTACTCCCAGACAGATCTCCAGGCATCTGGAGCACCTAGTCTCCTGAATTAGGAATTTAGGCCAACTATCATCCCTGTGCAGAGAACTTGGGACTGAGGAGGTTTCTCAACTCCACACCTAGGCACAGCTCTGGATCCTTGGTGGCCACCCACTAGATTATCCCTCGGAGCTTGTGCTTGTGCCTGCCATTGGGGGATGTGCTGGCAAACATGCCTGGTCTGGCCCCACCTATCATGGCCCCTGTCCCACACTCCAAGGTTGCATAGGGGTGCTCAGATCACTGTGAATTCTACAAATCAGCCCATTGCCTAAGGCAACAGAGAGTTTCTGCAATAAACAAAGATCAAGTATACACATAGCCATATTGGCCACTGCTGGCTCCTACCTATAAGTGCCATCTACAGGCTTGTAGGTCAAACCACACAGCCCAATATAAAACCTGCTGAAAGAAATGCATAGGGCTATAGAAGAAAAGCCCGAAGACCCAACCCTTCCCTAACCCTTACCTGTTGGGGTACAGTACAGTCCCTCTATAGTAACAGGAACTGTTAAGGAAAAGAAGGAAAAAGAAAAAAATCCTATCTGCTTGAAAATAATAACAAAAATTAGAAGTGCCAGCATCTCCAGATGAGAAGGAACTAGCACAAAGAATCTGCACCATGAAAAATCTAAATGTAGTGACACACCAAAATATTGCACTAGCCCTCCAGCAATGGCATCTAACCAAAATGGAAACTCGGAAATGACAGATAAATAATTCAAAGCATAGATTGCAAAAAAGCTTAATGAGATACAGGACAAGATTGAAAAGCAGTACAAAGAAACTTCTAAAACAATCCAGAAAATAAAGAAAGTGATAAACATCTTAAAAAGAAATCAATCAGAGCTTCTGGAATTGAAAAACTCAAGGAATTTGAAATACAACTGAAAGCTTTATCAATAGACTGGACAAAGCAAACGAAAGAATTTCAGAGCTCAAAGGTTGGTCTTTCAAATCAACCCAGTCAGACTAAAATAAAGACAAAATAATTTTTTTAAATGAACAAAGTCTTTGAGAAATATGGAATTATGTAAAATGACAGAACCTATGAATTACTGGCATTCCTGAGAGAAAAAGAGAAAAAGCAAAAAACCTGGAAAACATATTTGAGGGAATAATTCAAGAAAATTTCTCTAATCTTGCTAGATAGTTAAATATCCAAATACAAGAAATCCAGATAACACCTGCCTGATGCTATACAAAATGATCACCAAGGCATACAGTTACCAGGTTGTCCAGGTCAACATTAAAAAAAGAATCTTAAAGGCGGCTAGGGAAAAATGTCCGATCATATACAAAGGGAACCCCATGAAGCTAATAGCAGACTTCTCAGCAGAAATATTACAAGCCAGGAGAAACTGGGGGCTTATTTTCAGAATTTTTATATTTCTCTTCTTCGAGAACACCAGATATTCTTAGATTTGGTCATTTAGCATAATCCCAAGCTTCTTGGAGGCTTTCTTCTTTTTTTTAATCCTCTTCTATTTGTCTTTGTTGGAAACCTTGTCTTCAAGCTCTGAAGTTCTGTCTTCTTGTTTGATTCTGTTGCTGAGACTTTCTAGTGTAGTTTGCATTTCTTTAAGTGTGTCCTTCATTTCCAGAAGTTGTGACTGTTTGTTATTTACACTATCTATTTCTTTGGAAATTTTTTCATCCATATCCTATAACTTTAAAAATTTTTTTTAAGGCAGGATTCACCTTTCTCTGGTGATTTCTTGAATAGCTTAATAATCAATCATCTGAATTCTTTTTCTGGCAATTCAGAGATTTCGTCTTCGTGTGGATCCATTGCTGGTGAGCTAGTGTGATCTGTGGGTGTGTTAAAGAACCTCGTTTTGTCATGTTACCAGAATTGTTTTGCTGGTTCCTTCTCATTTAGGTAGACTATGTCAGAGGGAAGATCTAGGGTGCAAGGCTGTTGTTCAGATTCTTTTGTCCCACAGGGTGCTCACTTGATGTGGTGTTCTGTCTCCTGCCTCTAGGGATGGGGCTTCCTGAGAGCCAGACTGTAGTGATTGTTGTTTCTCTTTTGGATCTAGCTATCCAGCTGAGCTACCAGCCTTCTGGCTGGTATTGGGAAGTGTCTAGAAAGAGTCCTGTATTGTGATCTGTCTTTAGGTCTCTCAGCTGTGAGAACCAGCA